AAAAAGATTTCATTTATTGGAACGTACATGCAACTCTAAGCAAAGCATTGCTGAAACTAAAACCCATGCTTTTCTCAGTCTACTTTTACCCCTGCTTCTCGCCCCCCTCTTTCCAAACTCTTTTCTGTTTCTCACAGAGGTACGACCTTGCACATTTCTAGCCTTTGATAACAGTCCATCTTCCTGGCCTTTGATAGCCTACCATTTCCTTCTACTTTCAGTTCCCCCCTCCCCCCTACTAAAGAATGGCAGATACAAAGCAAGCAACTACTAAGTTAATACTTCGATTGCTGAAGGTTCTGACATGCTGCCCCTCCAGTGAAAATAGATCTTCCACGACTCTCCTTGTAGATCTGTAACAATAAAACACAACTAAGACAGTGTACAGAGATACATGCAATTACTTAGTATTGATCATGTGTATTTACTTGGGCTTGTCTGGATATCTTTTATAAAATTCCTTAATTAACTCTGGTGCTTTCATATGTTTCTTAGCTACCCATTCAGCAAAGGATTTTGGGAAATGTTTCCACTGAACCAGAAATCGTATTTTGACACCTATGCCTCCTTGCATCCAGTACTTCCTTTATTTCAAAATGTTGCTCACCTTCAGTCATCAGGGTTTTTGCCAATTTCACTGACTTGCCTGTTTGTTTAGGCTTTATAGCCGGTTTCTGGGCTGACTTTTTCGGGCAAACGGAGACGAAGTACCCTTCCTCTCCACAGTGGAAGCACGACTTTCCCACCGCTTGGGTGCCCCTATGACCCTTCCGGTCGGCTTCGAAGTCAGTTGATGGGGAGAGCGTGTCACTTTTGGTTGAGCTACTGCTCCTGATCCACGGATGACTGCCCATTGCAATTCCACCACCGAGACGTGAGAAATCCAGCCAGCCAGTGTTGTAGGACACCCTCTCACGATGGCCATCTCCCACAACTTTGGGGTTAGTCCCTTGTGGAACCATTTCACTAGAAATCCTTCAGGCCAGTCGTGAAGTTTAGCAGCTAGACGCTTGAACTCCAATGCATATTCGGTCACTGAGCAGGAGCCTTGCTTGATTTGTATGATGGCATCTTCCGCCTGAGCACGAGCGCAGGGGTCTTCAAACCACTCATGCAGTGATGAACCTGTTGAAATCCTCCAACGCCGGTGCCTCAGCTTCTTGCAGGTCAATCACCCATTCAGCGGGGAAACCAACCAGGTAGCGAGACACATACAGGACCCTCCAAGCATCACTTTGGAGCAGCCGACCGCAGCTCCCCATGCAAATTCTGACTTGGTTCAGGAAGCTAGCCAACTCGCCCAGGTCTCCCCCATATGGCTTCTTCAGGCCCCATCTTTTCAATGGGTTGCCTTCTTCTCTGCCAAAGTGAGGCGGGAGCCCCCCGAAATCCTCTTGTTCCCTCTGCATCCATCCCGGGCGCCATCTCAGCTCCCCTTCTCTTTCAACTGGTTGGTCAGGACCCCACAGCTGGTTGCTACCTGTTCTGGCGAGTCGACCCAGGGTCCTTGCTGCTTCTCTTCCTTCCTCCCTCTGACCACTCGTTATTTGTTGCCGCTGTGGCCCCGGTTCAGCGACGGTCGGTCTAGCCCGTAGCCTTTCCAATGCTAAGAGTCTGATTTCATCTCTTAGGGCACACATCTCTTCCTCTAGCGCCTGTAACCAACGATCCTGGTCCCATGATTCAGTGAACCCAGTTATCCCTCTGATGGCTCTCAACCATCTAGGGCTGTCTGGCTTCGTGGGTGGCGGTTCCTCAGTCACATCCCAAAACTCCCAGGTGCTTTGTGTATCCCGTAGTTTAGCGTGCCGACGATCTTTCTCTTTCTGTCTGACGACCACCCAGGCCTCTATCAGCTGGGGAGGGATGAGGATCTCCTCAACCCCTATGGAGGGGGGATGGCTCCTTCTCGATCCCACCTGCTGCCCTGAGCTCGAGTTCTGCACTGTCGGCTTCCAGCTGTAGGATTTCCTTCTCCTCTGTAGTCATGGTGTTTCGAGGGACTTTCCACAGTAATTCTTTTTCTCGGGTAAAGTCCAGTAGAAGGAGTTTCAGCAAAATGTCAGGTCTGCGATGTTCAAGTCCCAATGAAGAAAAATCTCATGCAACCTGAGTTAGATTCAAAAAAGATTTCATTTATTGGAACATACATGCAACTCTAAGCAAAGCATTGCTGAAACTAAAACCCATGCTTTTCCCAGTCTACTTTTACCCCTGCTTCTCACCTCCCTCTTTCCAAACTCTTTTCTGTTTCTCACAGAGGCGCGACCTTGCACATACCTAGCCTTTGATAACAGTCCATCTTCCTGGCCTTTGATAGCATACCATTTCCTTCTATTTTCAGTTCCCCCCTCCCCCCTACTAAAGAATGGCAGAAACAAAGCAAGCAACTACTAAGTTAATATTTTGATTGCTGAAGGTTCTGACACAGGCATACAAAGAATAAAAATCTTGAACATACTCTGAAAACCATCAAAACCAACAATGAAAATGTCTTTAAATGCTTCAGAAATAGGAAACTTGGAAAATGGTTAAATGGAAGGATTTAAAAGTGCCAAAAGGCTAAAGGAGAGGTAGCAGAAAAATGAGCAAGTGGAGAGTCACAATCATGACTTAAAAACATGGAAATAGGCAAAATGTTTCTCCCTCAAAATAGAAGAACATAATGGGTCATCCAATGATGCTGAACCATAGGAGATTCAGGGTCAAAAAAGGAAGCTGTTCTCACATAGTAAATATACGCAGCTGCTGCCACAAGATATGATCACAGCCACCAACTGACATGGCTTGAAAGTGGGATGGGACAAGCGCATGGAGAGTGGGAACATCAGCAGTTACTAGTCATGACAGATCGTCTCAGGAGCAGAGGCAGCAGGTCAGGATTAGGTCATTTGTGGTTGCTCACACTGTGGGAGCCCAGCCTTTGTTTTGGCACCTTGTGTGAATTTATATCGCTTGTCTGGCATCACTTGTTATGTGAATGGACATTTTTCCTAATGCGGAGTGAGGGTTAAGCATATGGTACGAACATAGTTCATAGGTCTTTGATCTGATCCAGCAGGGTTCTGGTTAAGCTGTGGTGCAATTTGTTTGACTGTATATTTATACCAATTTGTACTTGTTCCCAGTTTGGAAGTAGTGATGGGGACACTTAAGTTCATTCATGGAAAAGAACAGCTTTATTTCTTCTCTTTAGGTGAGTAAAGGAGCCTTAAATGCAGTTCCCACACCACGGATAATTGCTCTAGCCAGACCAAAGAGCAGTCCCTCAACTTCAGACAGTAAGTAATCTGCCCCTACCCTTCTCATTACTGACAAGATAAGCTTGCTCTTTGCACCAGTCTAGTTGTAGCTCCTCTGGGAGCTCTTAGATACAGGGGGGCGGGGGGGGGGAGCTGTGCCACACTGCTTACTAACTAATAAATCTCCTTCCAATTTTTAGAAGATTAGTAACAGGAGAATAGAGCTGTACAAACATAGGTGCCTCTGTGCATTGGCCGAATGACTCCCTGTAGCTCCCGAGATTCCCTTCCCACAGCTAAACAGTGCAGGAATGGTTCCCCATTTCCCCATGAGAAAAGCTGATGAAGATGATCAAATCACAGATGCCAACTCCCTCTCCTCTACACACATTTTTCTTGATTAAGTTTAAGGAGAAGAAAAGAAAAAATACAAAGAAATACTTATTCTGATACATATTTCAATACACACTGAACACATATCAAATATTACCAAAAAATAATACCTCCTACAAACACAGCACAGAAGGAAGGAACGGTTTAAAAATATATAATCAGAGAGTAAGCAACTCAAGGAAATATGACCAAAGTCCTGGAAGATCTCCCTTGCTTCTCAGAGTAAATCAAGAGAATAACAATCTATTGCTCCAGGTAGGGCAGTGATTGCAGTACTTCTCTTAGTTATGCCTGATCTACAGATTTTCCTTGTTTGTTAATAAAATCCATATAACTAGGGATAAAGCCAGGGAAACAGAAGCATCCTTGACAAACAGTTACTGTTATGAAGTCATATTGACAATCCTATGCATTTCAGATGTAAATATAGCAATGGTAGAACAAGCCTAAATCATATACAGTATGTTCCACTTCCTGAGTCACATGTGTAACAAAGGAATTTCATCTGACTTTATTAAGTATACGTGACTTCATTTTAAGATCAAACAATGGGTGTTTCACTATTTTCAAATAAATCTTTGAAAGTACTGTAATATAACTAGTAAAACCACTTTTAACTACAGTTGCAACAGCATCAAGACCAAAAGTTTAGATAATTATTGTTGAAATGACTGTACTCCCATGAAGCATTTTACAGTTAATTAAACTCAGCTGTTAAGTATTAAAAAGTTAAGATAAATTGAGTCAGGGTGACAATGTTATGGGAAGTCCAAATGCTACCCCAACTATTTTTAAATCAGTATTTCCCCATAAGCTTCTTGAGAGTAAAAGAATCAAAACTATGGTTATGATTCAATACCTATAGTGGCATTAACAGCTGTTAATGAAATAGATTTCCATACAAATAAACATTTTCACTGCTTAGCTTTTAGTGGAGTCAAATAATTATCCTCAGATTTAGCCCTGAAGAGGAACTGGATTTTAAAACTTTTATTCCAGTCAGCCAAATACATTCCAGTGAAAGCATGGAAAATTAACCCCATATTTCCCAATAGTTCATTGGAATTTGAGTATTGAAAAACTAATTTAGATGTCCATGTCAATAAAAATTATTGAATACATTAATTGAATACATTAATTTGTGATGCAACAAAAATAGGGAGAACTATTTATATAATTCAATTTTAATCACATTCAGTTTATTTTAGATACTCTAAAGCAGGGTAGGTTATGTGGCACCCATGAGCACCAAGGTGTCTATAAACACCTCATGGAACCTCAAAATTAAATTAATAGTTTTTATTATTATTATTAAACATGGCTGAAATCTCAGAAGAATGTCAATCTGAGGCAAGCATATTGAAGCCTCTTGCAATTTTAAGCATAAATGTGTAAGATCTTGGGAAACTCATCACTGAAATCCCATGAGATTGCAACTATTTTTAATTTTTGATACTTATTGCCTGAAAGGATTGCTGACTACTGCTCTAAGAAATTCTAAACCACTGTCTCAGATCTGTGCCAATTCCAAGCCACTTTCTAAAATTTAAATTAACTGATTGAAAAAACTTACTGGAGGCAATTTTGTTAAGATAAAAAAATCTAGATGCCACCTGAAACCTCAAGCCCTTAACATACCAATATTTTGACAAGAATCCAATGGCATCAAATCTTATTTATAATAGTTTAGGAAATAACTAAACATGATGCTTAGATTTTATATTAAGGAAACAAGGCTGGAAATACAGTCTTATAGTGTGCCAGCTGCATATAAAACAGTCTTACACTCAACTGCACTTATAGTTAATACTGTAAAACCTTGATTTAGTAGACCATTTTGGGGGAAAGATACCCATTGAATCTGAATGTCTATTAAATCCAAACTGAATTGCTCCAAATGACCTTAAAACATTGATTACCTTAATTACACAAAAGATGTAAATTGATGCAAATTACAAATTACATAAATTATGTTGACTGTTGACTTATGTAGACAGACTTTGAAAACAGTGGATTTGTCTCTTCTTACCAAATAGCACCTGGGCAGCTACATTTTGCACATTTCTGAATAGAATTCAAAGGCAGCCTGGTGTCAAGCTTGTTGCAGACGTTTAATCCAGTGATGATGAGTCATGTCACCAAGGCCTTTTGCTCCAAGTAGAAACACAACTGTTACCCTGACTGAATTTGAGCAAAGGCTCCACTGGTCATGATCTCCACCAGTGAAACCAACAGGACTGTGAGTCCCGGACTCCCAAGTTGTAAACCTGCTCTATCGGGGGGAGCAAAATCCCCTCCAGAGCTGACCGGAACAGACAGAGAGACATAACTGGATAAACAGAAACAATGTTTTGGTAGGACTCAGTTTTAGCCTGTTTTATCCTATCCAGACCCTCACAACCTCTGGGTACTAAATCAGGAATTTAGGCAAGCATCTCTGGACCAGCCCAGGCTAAAGATATACATCTGGACATCATCAGCATACTGATGATACCTCATCCTAAACTGACAGATAGCATCTCCCTGCAGTTTCATACAGCTCTTATAAAACAGAGGACCAAACTTTGGGGCCCACAACTAGGAATATCAATCAGCCCAATCCCTCTTCCTCCCCAAAACTGACTAGCATCACCCACTTAGGAAGAGGTGGAACCAGTGCAGAACAGTACTTTCTACCCTTAACACTTTCAAGCAGTCTAGAAGGACACTATTGTTGATAATAGAATGCCACCAATTCAAGAAGAATCAGGAGGGTGCATGACAAGCATTCAGGTCCTAAATAGAGTAATCCACTAGAGCAACAGCTGACATTTTCAGCCTATGCCTAGGCCTGAACCTTCCCTGAAAGTGGTCTAAAAATAGTTTCCTCTAGAGCACTCTGTATCTGAAGGCCCATTAGGTTCTCAACAACCTTCCCTAAAAGAAGTTGGAAAGAGGATGTAATTATCCAACATAGCCAGAAGACCTCTTCAGGAAAAGCCATATCATCTTCTCCATCAAAGCATCCGGCGCAATACCCTGTCTCAAGGAGGAACCCTTTCTAGATCCAGTTACTCAATACCTCACACCCTTTACCTGAAAGAGCCAGGAGGAAGAAAGTAGTTTGTTTGCTTTGTGGGCTCACTAGGACAGAAGACCATTGCTGCCAAATTCTCTTCCTTGGCAGCTTTGTCCTATCTGTGTGGTGCAAATGCAGCGGAAGAAACTCCCAACAGATTTTCACTGACTGGTTGAGTTGCCATAGCAGAAGAGTGCATAACAGTTGCCATTACCATAAGGGTGGTCAGTTGAGGAATGGGTAGGACAGTTTGAGATGAAACCTCTGAAGGTGTTGAGATGAGTACTTCTGCTGGAATCCCAGTCCTTTCTGAGAATTTTGGAAGTGGAATTGGCAGCACCAAATTGCTGGCACCCAGAATAATTAGTCGTTTAGTATGTTGGGAGATTTGAATCACATAACTAGGGGGGTTGGCAGGTGTATCCAGGTTGTGATAGGTCAAGGGAAATATAGCAGGAAACACCAGGATGGCCATTACAGGAGAAGAATAATTAAAAACCTGATGTTAATTTCCATTTCCAGTTGGGTTGCTTTAAGATGCTTATGGTAACACCAAGTCCATATGTAGTAAAACCTCAATCATCCACAATTTAGTAGTGGATGAATATCCAGACTTGCTTGTAAGTACAGATGATACCTTGCCAGAGATCTGCCCTCCTTGGTTTTGGGTCTTTCAAGGTCCAAAGACAGGGAGAGGTGATGATGTTGGTCTTTAAAGACACTTCACCTGTGGCCATGGACTCTGCTCCTCAAGGGACAGGATGTGAATGCCCATATATTACAGTGAATGGTAGGGCCAAGCTGGGGGTCCTGCTGGGGTACTTTCCATCCTGTTACCTAGCAGGATCCCTTTCTGGCTGCTCAACTTAGTCTCTGGGCTGGTTTTGTAGTCCTCTCCCCTTCTATTGCTGGGTGACTCCAATCTCCACGCCCTGGGGGCTAAGCAAAGAACTCCTCAGGAATTTATGGACTCCATAATGGCCATGAACTTGGCACCGGTAATCTCAAGCCAACACACGTAGGTAGCCAAATGTTCAACCTTGTGGGATATGGATATTTCCCTTAGCTTCTAGAAGTACCCTAGAGAAAGCAGATTATTTGAATCCTTTTCAGAGGATGCAGGCCAGGGCATAGGACAGAGACAGCACTGATTGTTCTTGTTGATTATCTTTGTTGGGATCTGGATGGAAGTAACATACATTTACATGCACATTTACATTAAGTTGCTGGGAAAAGTTAACTTTTGAGTATGGCTCAGAGTATGGTATCGTCTATATTCTGATGATATCCAGTTGTACATCGCTACCCTAAACAGTGCAAGAAATGCTGTCAATGTCTTGGTTCAGTTTCTAGAGGTTGTCCAGGTCTGGTTAGAATGAAATACACAGAAGTAGAACTGTAGCAAGATAGATCTGCTGTTTATACAGCAAGGTCCTCTGATAGCTCAGCTGTTGCCTTTTGACTGGGAGGTACAATCCCCAAAGGAGCAGGTCTGCAACTTGAGCCTCATAGCTACTGCTATATAGACAGGTGGAGGCTGTGTTCAGCAGGGCCTTTGCCCAGCTCTGGCTGGTCTACTAGCTGTGGCCCTACCTGGAGCAGGAGACCATGGTGACAGTGATTCATGCTTTTATCACTAAGTGCTTGGACTACCACACTTCACTCTGTATGGGGCTGCCTTTGAACACCACCCAGAAGCTTCAGAATGCAGTGATTTTTTTTTTGGATGGTGCTCATTGCCACAAGCTTGTTACACTGGTGCTTCAGGCCCAGAACTAACTGCCTATTGTCTTCTGGGTGCAATTCAAAGTGCTTGGCTTTACAAAGCTCTACACAGCTTGGCTAGTCAGCTATAATTGACTCATCTAGTCCATGCATGCCAGGAAAACTGCTTGTGACCAACTATTGTGAAGTGAGGATGGCTAAGATTTGCAAGGGTTTGTTTTTCGGCAATCACCATTATATTGTGGAACAGTTTTCCTGCAGACTTGTCCCATACTGTTAACGTTCTAAAATCTGCTAAACACAGAGAGCTTATCATGACTGAGATGAGGCCTATATTTTTTTTCATTGTAATTTTTATTGCTACTTGATATAACTATTTGTGTATTCTTTGTCATTGTTCTATTGCACATCATATCATATACATTGCAATCTGTCAAGAGTTCAAATGATTGTGAAGTACTAACTGAATTAATAAATACCTGATAAAATAGCTTGATCAAAGCCAAGAGTAGCATAAAACAAATGTCAGTATCATATGAAATAATTCCTCTAACATTCTTATTGCAAACTTTTTGAAGAACAACTTCCAACTAGGTTTTGAAAGTCTTCAGTTTTAATCATTATATCCACTACGTATATGACCTTAGCAGAGGATTCCCTTATTCTTGGCTCTAATATCTAAAATATAATATTGTTCTGTCTTCCAGAAGTGGTTTAGTGCTTAAACCCAAAGAGTATAGCCTCAGTGGACAAAGGGACTTTCCCCATTTGTAGATGTAGTGACCTGAAGTGGAGGTGAGAGAGGCAGGATAGGGACAGCAAATTTCATACTAGTACATTTTTTACTGACTTTAAGCATGAATGAACACTTTAACTCAGCAGTGGGAAAGGCTCATAGAATAGTGTTGCAGCAGACAGGGGGAGGGGGGGCAGGGACCAGAATGAATGTTTCCTAGAAGATGCACGGCTGACTGCATTCTTAACAAAATCACTACTACTGGGACATTTTGCTGCAGATTCAGTATGAGACTGTTGTAATGATTTGCTCTCTCTCATTCTGGCTTCTTGGTACTATGTATACCCATTAGTGTATTATTGCAATTTGTGGAATTTTGATTGCAGCCTTGATATTATTAATTCATCTCATATTTTAATGTTGAGAACTAACAGCCAAAAAACATCCTATAGATTAAATACTTGTTTAAGCAAAATGACTTCAAATATGAAGGTGTACTTACTTTTGGTACCCAACTCACACGTAAGAGCAGATATGCCAAAAAAAAAAAAAGACTTCTTGATTTGCAATCTACATAATGAAGTAGAAGAGTTGCTCTTTCTTTGCTAAACTGCTTGAGAGTAATGTAAACCCTTGGATCCAATTCCTTCCAGCATCTGAGGTAGCATCTGAGGTACCTCACAGGAGAAAAGTTGCATTTATAAAGTCAATTCCTTGAGACTACTGAACATATTTGAAATCTTGATAATTGAGGAATTTTGCATCATTTTAGTTTACCTTTGTATCTTTTAGAAACATTTGTTTCTGATCAATTTAGCCTTTAACACTTGCTTCTCCTGGGTTTGCTCCTGCAGAGCCACATAAAAAACATGGTCCTGTTCCCAGAGCAGAAAAGTTTGAAGAACTCTCCAGACCACGGATCTATATCTTTGAAGGTCACAACCCATACATAATTTCCAAGGCAGCTCTCAAATATCATCCTTCTCCTCGCATTCTTGAAATCAGCCGTCCAGTAAAGGTACAAGGAAGAATAATTTGAATTATGTAGATGCTGGTCTTCCTTGCTTCCATATTATTTGGGAAACTGATTAAAGGATTTTGCATCTCTCAAAACTGTAAATTGCGTATGATATATATCATCAGTATGAATATTTGTTTCTTGTTGGTGTGGATCTCTGAGTGGTCCCCTAGCTACTTCTGCCCAATGACTTCTAACTCGAAACAGATTCTTCCCAGTGCTCATTACATGAATAGCTTGGTTTCCAGCATAATTCCATTTGCCAGAAACATCACTGGTTCTTTGGGACCAATTTATATCAAACGTAGATCCTTGCTTAGGCCAATCAGATTCTGGCTGTGATCGATATTTCAACAGTTTATCTCTAGATACAGAATATACACAAATAGTCATTTTTTTCCACTCAGTAACAAATCCTCCAACTAATTATGTATTGGCAATTTATTTTTACAACTGGAGTAAGAGAGGAAGCAAGCAAGAAAAAAAATCAGATTGGGCCTAGACTCTATTGCAAAAGCAGCCACTGGATGTTAGAATCTAAATCTTTCAAATTGCACTAAAACAACCAGAACCCACACATCCGAGTTTAAAACTGCATTTCTTCTTAACCTACAGTTGAACCAAAGCAAAAACATTTATGATGTGTTACATCAGATGTTTTTAAACATTTGAAACCCCCATTGTACAACTTCCTTTTTCTTTTACTAAACATATTCAGTGCTTTTAGAAACACTGCTTCCATGATTTCCTCTTTATCTGTCTCCTCTAATAGCTAATTAATACATGCATCATACAAACTTAACAGTTCTATGTATAAACTGATTCTGTTGCAAAATGCCATGTTTACACTGATATATGTTGGTTTACATTTATGTTTAGAATCAAATCTGAAACTTTCCAACTTGGGCCAGGTACTCATAACAAATATAGAACATTTTGTTTCTATTACTTCAAATAGTAGGCAATTAAATATCTCTGAGCAAATTACAAGTGCCATTCCCTCATGCCCAAATAATATTAGGTCCTATCGGTCTTAGTTTAGAGCCAAGTGTGCAACTTTTGAGGCTGCACTAGACTTCATGCAACTGTTCTCCCAAAAGTGGATTGGGCAACAATCAATTTGGAAGAAGCGTGGAGAGGGGTTTAAAGAATGAAGTACAGTAATACCTCGGTTCATGAACGCTTCTGTTCATGAACAATTCGGTTCACGGACAGCATCATTCACAAAATTTTGTTTCCATTCGCGAACTCCGCATCGGGAGACGAACACGACCCATGGCCATTTTCCCTGCTGTGACACGTGGTTGTGGCTTCCTGTAGGTGAGGGGGACTCTCCCTCCAAACAAAAACCGCCTCCCCACCCCCCTTCCTGTCCTCCACGCCAGAAGTCGCCTCAAGCAAGGTTAGTGTTCTCTCTCTTTA